ATACATATTATTTTTTATTCGATTTCTATATTTTTTTTTCGAAATAATTTGATACAACTGCTTTAATTTTCATTTCCGATATTTGAAAAGACTCGAAAAATCGGAAATGAAAAGTAAAACAATCAAATTATAACAATCAAATCAAATTATATTAATAAAATTAATCTTGTCGTATTGATGAGATAATAAATAAAAGTAGATTCTTATGAAATATGATGTATAATAATGATGTATAATCAATCAATGTTATATTATTTCGCTTATATGTGTTTTGATTTTTAAATTTAATAAATATATAAATTATAAATTTTGTATTTTAAAAAAATCGAAATTTTTCGTATCTTTTACATAATAATAAAATGTGTTTATTTATAACTTATTAATATAAAAATAATATTTTGCTATCATTATTTTGCTAAAATATTTATTTGCTGAAATATTCCTTAATAAATTAACAGTTCGTAGTGAGTTGTTAAATTATCACAATTTTTAATGACCACGTTTCTTATATTTTTAATAAAAATTAAGAATCAAGTACTAATTAAGTTAGTATTAATTGTAAATTTCTATCTAAGCAAAACGTTTTAAATATATTATTTAATTGTAATGTAGTTAATAGAAATTGGAAAATAATTTGGAGAACATTAGAGAAAACAACATTAAAGAAAACAAATAAAAAAAGATACTTAGATTTGCAATTTACATACATATATTATTATGTTATATTATTTATTAAGGAATATTAGTAAAAGGTTAATAGTCTGAATTATAATTCTGATTCAAATTTTTAAAGATTTCTTGGAATTAATGATTCTTATGAGGTGTTTAATTCTAATTAAATTTCAAAATTTTTCTATGTAGAATGTGGGATGCACATATCATTTCTACGATGTATATTCAACCAGAATCCGCCTTTCGGTATATTTGTTGCATTTTTCTGAAGAATTTCAGAAGAAAGAAGAAGAATTTCAAAGGTAATTTTATACATAATTTCAGTTTATATTGGACTAACAAAATGAGACAACAAGAGTACTTTCAATATAGCAAATCGTTAGACCATGCACATTTTTGATTCAAATCCAAATGATATCTGATGAAATGAATTGTGATACATCTTATTGTTTTTTCTCAAAAATCTTTCCGGATAAAATATGTCCTGATTATCGTAGTACTTCTCATCACGATGGATCATAAAAATTCTTGTACATGACAAAAGATTTCTCACTTGATAATGCAGATGGTTGGAGATGGTTGCAGATGATTGAAGCGTTGGTCACTTCTATTTCTAATTGCAATGAGTTATTTAAATAATTGATTTTATTAATATTAATGAAATATTATTAAAATCAATTATTTAAATAACTCATTGTAATTAGAAATAGAAGTGAACAACGCTTATTGCTCAGAATACAAAACCTATAAAAGATAAATGTCTTGAAAGAGAATATTCTATGAAAGTTCCATAAGAAAATTTATTTGTCCATTCTTATGTTATAAATCATTTAATTAATAAAAGTAGAAAAACTTTTCTGATTATTTCAATTAAGTGAAAAGATTTTTAAGGAGAAAAATTATCTTTAGAACGAACTTATAAAAATTCTATAATTACAGAGCACAATTTAAATATAATTGAAATAAATAGGTATAAATAATTAATAATTAAGTAATAATTGATTAATTAAGTATAATTGAAATAAACAGGTATAAATAGGTATGGAAATTTAAAGCTTGATACTACAATATCAAATGAAATAAACAACAACAAAACATTAACATAAAATAAAATCTTTATTGATTTCCGCATAATTGCTACTTTTATTGATATTATGTTTATATATATATATATATATATATATATATTATATATTATACATATATATATCTTATATATATATAATATATATCTATATCTTATATATATATAATATGTATAATATATAATATATATAGATCTAATATATATATATCTTATAGATATCTTAGAGATAGATATAATAAAATAGATATAAGATAGAGAAGATGAAAATAGATATAAGAAATAGATATAAGATATAGATATAATATATATATATCTTATATGTATAGATCTTATATAGATAGATATTTTATATATCTCTTTTTCTACAGCTTGTCTACAAACTCGACTATTGGCACTAAGCATCCACTGAGTCCCATTTTTCTTTCATATGGGTACCTTCCTACTGCGCCTACAGAAACAGAATTTTATGTCTTACAAGTTATTGCAATTTTATCATTAATATATTAATACATTAAAAATTACAATGTAATAATTAATGTGTGCAATAATATTACATATTCTCCTGTTTATAAATTAAGTAGATCTTGCTAAACTGAATTAAAAAGTCCTATATCCTTTTACAAATAATTACGCAAAATTTCGAGATATTAATAAGTTGTTTGCAAAACGGTATAGGACTTTTCAATTCGACTTAACGAAATCTACTTATGGTTTTTTGGCAGATGATACAACAGACCCCCTGTACACACACACACACGCGCGCGCGCGCGCGCGCACGCGTTTTTGGACGACTAATTTCGTAAAGATATATGTTAAGATATATGTTTATATATGTTAAGAACCATAATTAACTACTACTAACTTCTTTTAACAGTAAAAATACTTTAAATAATATTTTGTAATTATTCTATTAGAATATTAATTTTTTTTATTTTTAAATAATTATCATCATAATAATCATTTCAATAATAATCATTATAAATAATTTAATTAATAACATAAGAAAATAAAATTAATTTTGTGGCCATTTAAATTAATTTCGTGAAAAGTTCGTGTAAGAGAAGTTATTTTATTGTTAGAAGAAATTTTTAAAGTGTTTTACACAACTATTTGATATATATGTGTGCGTGTGCGTGCGTGTGCGTGCGTGCGTGTATACATATAAAATATCCTCTATTATTTAATAAATCTCAATTTCAAAACGAAACAAATGACATACGTATAATGCGATATTTTAATATTTATTTAATGCAAAAATATTGAAAAAATTAAAAGTCTAAATGTGCATTACAATTATTTAAATTGTAACAATTACTCAAATTGTATGTATGATCGTATTAATATACATTATTTCCGAATTGAAAAACTCAAATTAATTTTCTTCTACTTACGTAAGCAAGAAACAATTTTTTTGTTCCTTATTAAGTCAATTGTAATTTATATAATTAGAACATTATTTTAATGTTTGATAAATATCAAAATTATTGAATATTAATGCTAATTTTATGCTAATAATTAAGGCAGGCTAATAATTTGCGTAATTATTTTTTATTATTTCGAGAATTAATTGCTTTGATTACACAGGCTTAGTTCAGTTACAAAAAACAGAGTAGGTGAATCTAATAGATTTTGTGACGCTGAAAATGAATCTGGCCGTAGAATTTTCCCAGCACGTCGGGTTTTTAAGTAATTTAGTTTATATAGTTGAATAGCCCAAAATCACTATTTTGGCCAATTTCATGAATTTATTGTGGAGAAATCAAATTTTTTGAAATAATTCTGCCATGTCATCGTATAGTATTCACTTTCACCTTTCAATTCACTTTCGATTACCGCCGCACAATTTTTTTCGTTGAGATATATAAGTATAAAGTTATAAGAAAATTTACGTTAAAGAAAATTTACATAGACATCAATATGATAGATCCATCATCTTGAAATTTGAAAATTGAACTGATATATGTCAGGTTCAGTTGCCCGAAAAGGTATTGCAAAGAAATATCTAATACAAAATTACATTAATGTCACAATATACGTTTTGCATCTTCTATTAATTATTTTAGAAAGAAGGTTGTTTTTAAATTTGGCGTTGCTTAGATTAGCAGCGAATGAGTTTATTTTTATGCTTGATTGTCGCATTAATCTTTTCTCGAGTGCAAAATAGCTATTACTTATTATTATATTTGATTTCCGCAGTTTAGAAAAGTGAAATTTATATAAAATAATATTCGTGCATTTATATATACATATATAGACAAATTGAAATTTTATGTCTATTCTTGGAATTTATAGCAGTTTATATCACGTATAAATATCTCTTTTATCTTGGATTATTGGACCATTAGGTCGATTAGATACAGCCAATCTTTATTGTCATTATTCAACCTAAGTAAACTTTTGATGATTGTCATGAATATTATATACATGACAAATTAAATATGACCAATTTTTCACGAGTTATTATTTTTATAACAAAAGTAATTATATATTCGAAATTGATTATTTAAGTAGGTTTGATTGTTTTTTTTATTAGATGCTTTTTTTATTAGAAATCGAAGTGACTAATGTGACTTGAAGTATAAAATCTACAAGAAATATGTTATCGAGCGACGCGGTAGCATCGCAAAGCCAAGTACATAAAAAACAGGTCCAAGCATTGAGTTGAGAATCACTATTCTCAATGCGGCGTTACCAAGTAAACTTTCATGTCAAGTAAACTTTCGATTAAGATATTTAATAAACTAAAGCAGTAATAAAAAATCTAACGACATTTGTATTATATAATGTGGATATAAGCTTTCAATTGCGACCAGTTTGAATAAAATTGGTGCAGTCAATTCTGAGAAATGAAGATCGAATATCAGAATTGTGACATTTTTCGTTTTTCTCCAGGTTCAGACTCACGTACATACTATATGTTCGCATACACGCAAAGCGAGTTTGTCCCTCAAGCGGCGTTCACAGTGTGCGTATACGATTATTGCTTCGATATAAAAAAGTTTTAAAATTTCTTATAACAGTGTATAACAGCAATTAATTATTGTAAATAATATCTTATTATAATAATTTATAATAAAATTTAAATATTATATTATAAATTTAATTTTATATAGATATTTATAATAATTTTATAATAATATATTTTTTATACGCTTTTATGAAGGAAATAATATTCTTATAATATTTTAATCGTAATATTAATACTGAAGACCGGTTCTTTTTTATAATTTCTAAGAAAGGATTAAGTATTATATTTTATTGAATACAAGCATACAAAGTTAATTACAATTCATAAAACAAGAAGGTTTTATATAAAATCTTCGAGAATGTATAGTTATAAAATCAGAATTATTAATATTTAATCATATACGCGAGATTGCATTACTTATTAGTTTATTATATGAATACTACGCAAGAGAAAAAATGTACTTTCTTCCTTTATTCGGGCTTATCAAATAGCTCTGCTACATGTACTGCGCACCGTATAGCCGTCATAGTCTTTTCATCATTGCTTCCTGATTGGGCTTCATATAAAATATGCAATTAATATATGCAATTTGAAATAAAGTAAGTTGTTGAAAATAATTCAGCTTTACAAAATAATTACACTATGTATAATTTTAATGAATATTATTTATAATATAGAAGAAGAAAATTTTCTTTTAAATATAATTTCTAATTGTAAAGCAAAAAAATTATAGATTATTAAAAGAATTACTACATACTGAATATCTATATGTTTTATTTACCTTGCTGAAAACATGTGGTGGAGATGTCTTTTGCTTCCTTCAACTTGGCCGCATCGGAAATGAGTTTATCATAATTAGCAAAAAGTTTTTCTTTGTTGACTAAACCTTGTTCGTCGATCTGAAAGATCGATAAAATTGTATTATTTATTTATTATTAACAAATTTCAAAAAGATATAAGTTTGCAAAAATCATTCAAGTAATATATATTTTTAAAAAATATGCTATTAAAGCGATTGAAGATATATATTTTTGTATAATTAATATAACAACTATATTTATACGATACATATACGATACATATAATTGTAAATTACGATCGAAAAATTTCATGAAATTAAATGAAAACATGTAATATTATCTTTTAAATGTAAACATGTAATATTATCTTTTATGTCTTTTATTCTCCTTTACAAAATGTGAAAGATCACATCAGTTTGTAAATAACTCATTGCTGTAATTGTGAATCGCTTTTACTTCATTTTTAAGAACTTTAATTGTAAACAATTCCAATAGTAAAGCAATTGCTTAAATGTATAATATTATTACACACACACATATAACACATATAACACACACACACACACACACACACACACACACACACACACACACACACATACACACGCATACGCAAATAATAATTCAAATTATGTATTTTTTTAAATCTGTAATTATACAGAGTCTGATAACTTTTTGCGAAGGGTGGAGGTAAATTGGCTCAAATTAAGAAGAAAGGTCATCTACTGTTTTGTGATATTCGTAATAATTAATGAAAAATTAATTAAAGAAGCTCAGCCAATCCATGCAAATATAAGCATGCGACGAAGCGGTGGGGGACACACTCCAAAACATGATGGCGGCGCGCGGCATTTCAGCGTTACGTTTAGTGAGTAAGGTCCGCTCACCTCTTCGTCGAGTAACTAATATCAAGTTACAGTGGGACGGCCTTTTTCGTCGCGTGCTCATCCTTGTACAGATTAGCTGAGCTTCTTTAATTAATTTTTCGTTAATTATTGCGAATATCACAGTAAAACAGTAGAAGACCTTTTTCCTTAATTTGATTTGATCTACCTTCGCACTTCGGGATTACAAAAAGTTATCAGACACCCTGTATAATAAATATATGTCTGCAATCATATAAATGTATACATTGCTGTTGTTGTTTTATAAAGGAAAAATTTATTTCTCACTTTATAAATAAATTAACTATGTGTCGCAATTAATTTTAAGATTTTCCTTTAGTAATACTATTATTATTTTAATTTTCCAAATTCTTTTTCATTACAAAAATTAGCATGCCAATAATTAATTGTTAATACTCCAAATTGGTTGCGAGTAAAAATAATCGATAATTATGCTGCTAAACAAAATTTTAAAACAAATTAAAATTAAATTTTATTAAAATTTAAATTTGAATATGATTTAGATATTATAAATGTTGGAATCGATATACTAATATTGAAAATTATATTAAGAATTAGTAAAGAAATGTTATAATTTTATTATTTGACATATTTATAATTAATTTTATTTATTGTACAAAATAATAAATCACTTCTTCTTACTTTCGGTACAAAATTTTTATATCTTTTATTATTTGAACTTAGATACTTAAAATACCTTATCATGTTTTAACTTTATTTATATTACAGTTTGTTTCTCTAATTTTTATGTGTATATACATACGTACCACTTTGTCCTTTTCCATTACACATTTAATTACTTCTGGTGTCCATTCTAAAATATATAAATTACAAATTTAATAATACAACTTCATGTATGCATGTATAATTTGACAATTAAATTTATATAAATGTGAAGTTATTTAAAATTATTTAAATATAAACAATTTATTTATTAACTATTTGTTTAATGTTATCTTCTGCAAAGCATAATCGTTAATGCAAAAAATTTGTAGCATATTAAATTAGTTTTAATATATTAATATTAACTAATTTGAAGAAAAAAATTTTATCTTAATTTTATCTCTCTTTCCTACTTTGAAAAAAAAAAATATTAAGGTGTTTTGAAAACGTCTATTATGGATTATATTTATGATAAAAGTTATATTTGAAAATTGTGAAATACAAATTTTTTATTCAATAAATTTTTTAATTATAGTTTATATTTATTTAATTCCAATATTTAATTGTGACATTATCGATTTACCCTGTACATTAAATTCTTTGATACAACTTGCATAATATTGTACAACTGTGTTACTTGAGGATCAACAGCAAGGAAATTGTCTGAAAAATAAAAGGAGAAGAGAATTACTATCTTCATATTTTCTGTTACTATTCATATGTATATCATATTATTCCTATATATGTCTCAATTTTATTTTTAATATTACAATATTATTTAACTTTATAATTTGGTATCTCTAAGTTTTTCAAATGTTGACAAAGTTTATTTCCAAAATTATTATTGGGCAGCTAAATTACTTTGAATATGTTATGCACATATTTTCAAATAATTTATTAAAAAGATTTTTATTTTTATCTATTTGTATTAAAAAGGAAATAAATTTATGATCATATATAAAAAAATACCAAGAAATCAAGTAAACTTTTACAAAAAGAAAATTCAAGTAACATACAAATCCAATGGTATACGCGTGCATGCTGCGCCATGTGTATGTAAAAAAGATATATTATTGGTATACATTTATATATACATTAATATATTAACATGATACATAAATTTATAAATGAATCTATAATTTATACATATACAGGGGTGTAAAAAAACCGTCTATCAAGCAAATAAGCGTTTATTCCTGATTAAAAAATCGACGTCGAAAAAGTCCTGAAAAATCATTTTTTTCTATAATACTTTGAATAAAGAAGGTAATTATTGAAAATAAAGTTACGGCTCATAAGCAATCGATTCTTTTAGTCGGGCCAACGTCAGTGGAGCCGCCGGTGCCTGATATAATAATATATAATATATAATTCCTAATTTCTCAAATATGTTTGTAATTTTCCAAATTTTCTATTTTTCTACCAAATTCATGATTAAAATTAAGATAAATAGTACATAAATAAATAAATATATAGTGGAAATCGATGAAAGTTGTGTCGACAAAGTGTTTATTTAATAAACCCGGTTAGCTTGGAAACGTATAACCAGCTTATTTTTGATAGCAAGCTTAATACAAGGACTTTGCCCAGCGATCGTAAGCTTTCGAGATGTCTCTAATGACTCGGCAAAATGCCGGTATAATAATAATGACAACCTCGAGAAGGACCAGCTCTCTTCAGAATCAAAGACAAAGTAGAACGAAAATATAGTTCCGCAAGTAATAGAATATAACTAAACTTGCTTTTCTAATTAGAAATTTGACGTGTGGATCGTTTCTGGCCCCTGAGCTGCTTTTCTAAGTCTCTCCAGAATTCTTTTTTTTTATCTTTATTAAATCATAAATTTCTATTTATCCTAACAATTTTGGGGGCTCAACCGGGATAGTTGCAGTTGAGGGAATAGCGAGCAAGGAGCAGTGGGGGAGGAATTTTTGTGAGTGGAAAGTTGGCGAAGACTGATTCATACGAGAACGCCAACTACGAATCTTGTCAACGGTGACGAAAAAAGCTACGACGATTCAAATAGGAAGTAATTATCCAAGTAAAGACAGAGAACATGGAGAAAAAAATCTGAAAACGACCTTAACCGGTTAATGAAGTTAAGGAGATCTTGCGAGAGATGAGTCCTGTCCACGGTGGGCGTAAAGGTACCAGAAACTAGTGGCCAGAATTATTGGAAAAAGATCCTGCGGGCCAGGTGGACGTTGCGGAGGAAACAGGAGACAGGGAAGAGTCCAGCGAAGTGGATGGATCGGGAGAGACCCGAGCGTGGCAAAGTGTGGGCGGCGGATGATTCGGAGCGTCCTGTCGGCGAGAGAATGGAAAACTTTGTCGGTGAGAAAAGGAGCCAGGTTAGAGCGAAGTAGATAGCGTTAGCCGGCAAGAAATGGATTGTTGAGAACGTATGGGCAAATGCGGAATGGCCGAGGCGGCATGAGTCGGCGAGCGATGCAGGAATGAGGAGAATCAACGGTGTCCCAATGAACCATGGCGATAAATATAAGCGCATTACAAGCCTATTGGGGGATATTTCGAGGGCGAAAGGAGAATGTTTGAGGCATGGGAGAAGCGCGTTAGATCTCTTCGGGAATGCTTACGGATTGTCCGGATGATTTGGCGAGAAATTATGATTGGATCGCGTCTGAATGGGTAAAGCACAGGAGTGGAGTCCCACTCAAATCCAAGTTATATCGAAATAACTGTCCCGAATGAGCCTTTTTGCGAAGGAGAATAAGAAACATTTTTTCTTTAAAGCCAAGTAGAATTGTGAGAAAGCAGTTTGAACAAGCGGCGTGTGGGCGTAAGGACGAAACCTTCAAACGGTATTTACAATCAGAAAATTATAATCGGGCAAATTCGGATCGGGAATCGACGAAGATGAGATTGATT